TTTTACTCGCCAGGCTTATATATTAAAAAGAGGGCGTCTCGAATGCACTCGGGCCTTTATGATCTTTCTAGAAACTCCAGCGCGCATGCCCCCCCCCCCAGCTTCCAGTGGCACAGCGGTATGTCTACGGACTTACAACGCTAGAAACCGGGTTTCGATATCCGTGGTGGGCAGAGCACAGACAGTCCTTGTGTAGCTTTGTGCATAATTATAAACAAACAAACAAACGCATGCTACCAGCGTCGCGTGACTTCCGCTGTCGTAACAATATACATTACACGAAAAAATTCTACGGAGACTTCACATTTTTTGGTAAGTTTCAATTAACATTTAATTTAGAATATAGCATTATAGCCCTATTTATTTATAGATGCATAACTATACATCTTCTGATACATCATATATTTAACTTCACACACAAAAGGAATGTATCCAGAATTAGAATGTCGTGTGTGGAAAAGGTAACAGTAGGCCTAGCCTATAAAATAAAATTATGCCATCTGTCATAAAAGAGTAAGGCTTACATTATAAGAGTAAGGCTTATTGTGTAAAATAATATTAAAGTCAAGCCAGCGAATATATTATATTCTACTTTTTATATCGAAGTGCTTCTATACTTGGACTTGGATTTTTTTCTTTTGATACATTATAAAGTACAATATTGCATTTTGTTTGTAGGATATTTTATACATCAATGTCACAATGTGAATATGGTATCAGATTCATAAAACTACATTAAACTAGAAGCGTTACCCGGCGTTGCCGGGTTTTAGAAAGAACAGACAAGAAAACCAACCTACTTTCTTTGTTTCCCGTTACCATACGTGTATCAGATAAACTTACTATTTTCCATAAGAAACTATTTATCCTTGCCAGTGATGAAAAACAAAAAACATCATTCATAAGGAAGCCCTGATTTAAAACAGGTTCGTAGTTTATTTTCGAAAATCAAATTTAAGGTTTTTTTTCTTTCATAAAATTCACAAAATATGTTTACCTATCGAACTATGGTACGGGGAAACAGATAAAGTAGGGTTTATCAAAAACCAGGACAACACCGGAATATTGCTAATTTAAGTATAATTAGGATCTCAATATAAAAAATATAAGAAAAGCTGTTAAGAGAAAGGTGCAAAGGTTTGAAGTATTTTTGTCTCCTTTTCATAATTAGTTCGTCCTAAATAATTGTGTACTAGTAGCTTAAACTTGCATTATTATTAAAAATGTCTTATCCTTTTATACAACACTAAACTTTAAACAAATTGATGTTAATTTTTTTGAGAAAACTTACGTTATGTAAATTTTAGGTCTAAATATGATTAGTTACTGTTAAATCGTTCCTTTGTTTAGTAATTGTGCTAATATTAAAATAAGCTAATACTTGGAATTATAAAAACTGTTTTCTCATACCACAATTTCATTAGGAACTTTCTTTTAAAATATTCTGAACCACCCAGTAATTAGATTAAGTAAATTCAACAGTTTAAGAAAAATTGTAAATAATAAAACATTATAAGTTTCACTTCCTAGAAATTTGAAAGTTTTTCACATAAATGAAAGAAACATTAATGTGAAGATAACAATACTTACCAGTGGAAAAACCACCTGATATCAAGATACTGAAGCCAGCCATAGACATGAAGATGACGTTAGTCCATCGGCGCCCTAATTTTTCCATTAGAAACAAAGATAAGAAAATTCCTGGTACATCAACAAGTCCGAGAAAGAAAAAGTTGAGAAATTCATTTCCGTAGAGGTTTGTAGCGTTGATCACCAAAGAATAAAAACCTATGACGCAGGAAATCCTATAATATAGATATGAACATTATGTTATATGAGAAATGAGCTTTAAAGGATGATCTATAAGGACAATACTTTTTACATTCACAGTACATATATCACTAAGTAAATATTGATTATATAATGTAATAAAACAAAGTAAAGGATGATCTATAAGGACAATACTTTTTACATTCACAGTACATATATCACTAAGTAAATATTGATTATATAATGTAATAAAACAAAGTAAGGATGATCTATAAGGACAATACTTTTTACATTCACAGTACATATATCACTAAGTAAATATTGATTATATAATGTAACAAAACAAAGTATAAATTGGTTGAATACCTTCAACTTCAATATTAAACTCAACAGTTTTACTTCCTTTTTAGAAATAACATATGAGAGACAGTTTTTACGTCCTTACATAATTTATACTAATATAGTAATACGACTCTTATGACCTTACTAAATGTAATTTATACAATCGGTTCTCTCACTTAGTTGATAATTGTTTGATGATGTTATTCGAGTTTAAGTACCCTTGACAGAGTTGAGACACATCATTAATGGCTTGCTCAGTTTGATTACAGCTTTCATGGCAGTGCTTTATTTATTCTAGTATAACAATGTAAGAAACAAGGCTCTTTGACAATGCTTTTTATATTAAAGTTTTTCTTCATTACCCATTCAAGCCGTCTCCAGCCATTATTAGTCTCAAAGTGGGTTCCTCGTCATCGAATTTGAATCCCACTATTCGTTGGTAAAAGAGTAGCCCAAGAGTTGGCGGTGGGTGGTGATGACTAGCTGCCCTCCCTATAGTCTAACACTGCTAAAATTAGGGACGGTTAGCGCAGATAACCCTCTGTAGCTTTGCGCGAAATGAAAACAAACAAACAAACAAATCTTACTTAATTTGAAACTGGTCGACAAGATGAAAGGGAGCTAGTCATCACCACCCATCATCATCTCTTGTCTGACCCTCTAATGTGATTTGACTACAAAGTATCGAGACCAGTGGCAGCTTGTTATTGTTTTATTATGTTACAGAACCAGAACGATAAACACGTAGATCAACAATGCTGCATCACCACCCATCATCATCTCTTGTCTGACCCTCTAATGTGATTTGACTACAAAGTATCAAGACCAGTGGCAGCTTGTTATTGTTTTATTATGTTACAGAACCTGAACGATAAACACGTAGATCAACAATGCTGCACGTTAGCCAGTTGGCCACGCTCAGTTCTACTGGTCATACTTGATAAAAAGTAATTATTATGTAACAACAAGACGTCCGTGTTACAGATAAATTATACACTAGCAGGTAAGCAATATATTTAAACTATTACTAAACTTATACTAAAACAACTGACATCTCAGGCATAAAGCAGAATATTTAAAAAATAGAAAATATATATTATAAAAAATATAAATATTTCGTTTCTGTATTATTATTGATTACTTATAATTGTGCTAAATTTCACACTAAATATGATAAAATCAGAGTTATTAGCTTAAAGGGGTATCAGCAACTTTTTATGTTTAATATTAATGACATTAATGATTGTTTTCTTTTGAACAATAATTTTTATTTGTTATTTTAGATAAGAAGATCTAAGATTATTTTCCTACCATGAAAGTGTTACAATCAGGAAGTGCTTCCTTAAAGTGCTGTAGTGGAATAAATCCTTCAAGTTGTATGTTGTTTCTTCTTCTTCCTTTATGTTTTTTTGAAATTTCTTTTGAGAGAAACAATTAAAAATTAACCTGTGTATCATTGTTAAACTTCATTGCTTACATTTATCACCTTATCGTTCTCTTGTAATTATTAGTCCAATATTTATAATTCTCTATTTTATTCTTACAAGAACTGCTAATTCGCCAATTCAAAATCTGTGATACAGATATTTCATTACGCTGTAATCTACAAATTGTAAAAGCCAACAAAGTCAGTCGTTTAATTAGCCATAATAATATTGTTCTTTGACTTTTAATGTTCAATAATATATATATATAAGCCAATTTCATTCGTACCTATCAGTTGTGACTGTTATTATTCTTAAAATTTTGATGCGATTCCAGTACTTGATTACAGGACTACCTCAAGGAAGGTTTTTACCTGTACAGCTTACCTTTTTTTGAGATCTAAACATCTACTTACCCGTTTGTCTTCCGTGGCGAATCTAGAAGGAGAGTAGATGAACTTGGTGGTAGAGTGGTGCCTGAGTCGTGTACTTTGGTCTTTAGAAACAAAACTTTGGCCTTGTACTCCTTACACAGTAATGGCCAATCATAGGGTCAATTGTGGCCAGAGTCAACCAAGTGCCAGTATCAAACGTCCACGATGAATGTTGCTGATTTATGTCTAGTATTGATCTTTGGGTGCATTTCGCTTGAAATCATACACTGTACTCCATGGTGGGTGGGGAGAGTGGACACCGAATTCTCTTTTCCTTGTGAATAATTTATCAAAGCATCTTACCATCCTTTTTAGTCTATGGTCATTACTGTGATAAAGATCGTCATGTGTGTCAGTTGGATCCATGTTGTTATCATGCCCTAAATGGATCGAGGAGATATAAGTACAGTAGATAAGATAAACAATAACATTTTCAATTCAAAAGCGAGGAAGATGGTAACACTTCTTCTGCAACAGTTACACTACTGTACTTTGTGTCACTGCTGCAGAAGGAGTACAGACAGGCCTTTCTATCCGACGTACAGGATTTTTCCCATTCTATGTTAAGGATCACTTCACCTCTACGTACAAAATACAGAACAAAAACAGGCTGTGTGATGAATGGATTCATGGAGGAATATCCTTGCTATTTGTGCAACATACTGACTCCATAATAATATCTATTACTACACCTTTTTAGGCCACTGCCATCTGAATTGGCCATAATAACATTATGCTCTCTATACCTCTTCTTTGGAATAAGAAATTGATCAGGCAGACCTTATTAAATAATTTAATAGCTGCCATTTCCAATGATAATTCTGGGAGACTTTTGCTGGACACAATCTACTCTGGGATGGTTGAGGTATTACTGAGATGAGTCGATCTGTAGAGTGTATGCTCTCAAATAACAACTTTCTCTCCTCAGTATTGGAAAATATATATATTTTAATGGCTTAGGTCAGACATTTACTGCTGTCAACCTGTCCACTGGTTTGTCCTCCCTCAATCAGGGAAGTCTTTCTCAAAAATGAGCATCTTCTTTCTATATTTCTATACCTTGAGAAGACTTATGACATCACATGGAGTTTCCGTATATTACAGTAGGTTGCATATCCATTTATCCATTTTTATCTATGTGGTGTAACAGAGAGGTTATTTAAGATTTGTATGAGATCACCAATATCCTAATCGTTCTTACAGGAGCTTGCAGTGCCTGGGGAATATCTAAATGTCATATTTTTTAGCATTAATATTAATTCTTTCATTGAACAGCTTTTCTCGTAGATTTTCAAACTGTCCCTATGTCAATGAGTTTCAAAATCTCTGTTGGTTAGGGAATATTAAACACATTATAGCGACTTCAAACTGCTCTCCATAAATTGTGTGAAAGACCACTTAAACTTGTTTCAAATTTTCATAATATAAAATCGTTTGAATGCTTAGCCGCTGTCAACAGGGATTATGTCTTGATCCCGAGCTCCATCTAATCACTATGGTGGCTGAGACAAAGGTCTTGGATCTCTCTTCAATGAAACACTTGCTCTTAATATAATATTCTCAATATAAAACTGGTTAATGTTAACTATACAAGGACACTTAATATCCATAAAACTCTCTTTTACACATCTTTGGGGGAGAGAGTAGATACTTGTTGTATACACCTGTCATGCCCTACTAAATCTAAGATGGACTCTAAGTCTTTGGTTAACCTTGCCTATGGAATCTGTGTAGAAGATGTTGGACCCTATACATCATTAAGGACTTTGGTTCTACACGGAGGCATTCAACACTTCTTGTGCACAATTTTTTTATGAGCCTCAAGTTCACCTCCTCTTTCACAACTTACATTACGGCAGGCAACAAAGCTCTTGTCCCTACCACAACATCCGATCAGAAAGGGTGTCTTCATATATCGGTGGTCTATACTTTTTTGGAAATTGATAGTCTACTATTTCTACTTTTGTCCTTCAGGTCCAGACAAAATGAACAAAATTAGGTTTAACAGAAAACGTCGTTGCAGAATTTGATTATCAGCCCATACTACCCCCACTGTGATCTTTCATTTAGTCCACCTGAAGAAATAGGATCCTCCTGTTTAAAACTAAACTTTTCTTTAACAAACTTTTTTGGGGTCATTTTTATAGTACAATATTACAAATGACTTAAAATCAGGAATCTTTGTGGCTTCTGCCATAGTTTAATACAGCTCTGTGTAGTTAAAGATTCTCTTTACAAATTCTGTGTTTACTGCTGGTTTCTATGCAATCTCATTTACTGTAAATTACATAGACACTAACTGGTTCACGTAGCTATTTGAAGGCCATAAAACTGCTTAACATCAGTTCTCACTCAGTGCCCTTGAATATTTAAAAATGAATGCCATATTTTTCATTCTCATCTGTCCTGATACATATTTTCTGGTTCCCTGGCCACGTTGGTATCCAAGAGAAATCTTGTTAACACAACAGCCAAATTCACTTCCAATGGTGATATCACAATATTGTCTGTTCTTTGTTTTGACTTGAGTCATCAAGGTAAAACTTTATGTGAATTGGAAGATGATTTGAAGTGATCAATAACCCAACAAGATTTTCCAGATAACGTCTACCATTACTATTTGGTCATATACATAGTTTATGTAGCAATTAGAGGGAGGAAGTTGTCCTTTAAAGGTTCCTTGTTGATATCAATAGTTCTCCTTTTAAGGCCTCATTTTGGCAACAATTTTCTAAAACGTTATTTGTCTTACAAGGGAGTAATCTGTCAATGCATCTTTTTGTTGTACAATGGAGTAATCCGTCAACGATTAAGCTTTGTGACACTCGGATCACAATTGCCTTAATTTTCCTTTCATACTGTCATTTTGACACTAAACAATGATACCATTTGATACTAATATTTTCACTTGTGGTGCCCATTTGACTTTGAACAGTGTCATAGGCAACGATGATACTGTCCAGTTGCGCTTGGGTCTTTGGTCTTTTATATTATGCTTAATAATTGTTGATCCTTTTTTAAACGTAGAAAAACCTAAAAAGAAATCCTTATATATTTATTTTTATTGTGTATGTGTGTGTGTGTTATTTTTATATGTACCTTTTTAATCAGTTTTTGAAGAAAAAATATAAAACTCATTATAACAGCACAACGTTGTGTTGCAGATGGCTTGAGGCCTTGCATCATTAGACTACCAAACAACAACAATGTGAAAACGTCGGGAATAATCATTCGTTCAAAATACATTATTAAATTTTAGTAGTAGGCTTATAAAAGTACAATAAAGAACTTGGAAAAATCAGTCGGTATTGTTTGGGGTTTTCTCTCAAGACCCAGTTTCAATTTGCACGCATCTAACATAGTTTTTCTTCAGTACTTTAACACTGTTGTAATACCACTGAATTCGTAAAATTATCTTGTAGCCATTCATTTTGATAGTGAGATAATTTATTTCTATATCTTTGATGAGTGTGTGCTGTACGATTTGTTTGAGGCTACCTTAAAATATCCGCATTCTACTTAGAGTTCAAAGGCCCCCCATGATACAAAAAGGTCCAATGTACAGATCAAGCTCCTCCATGATCCCCAATTACTTCTACGTCTATCCCAAGGGTACCTGAGCACGTGTGCCACGTTTGATCCTCCTAGTTTGTGAATATGGGTATGAACATAGTTTCAAACACGTTACTCCAGGGACCCCGAGGGAAAACAAAAATCCTACACACCAACATGCCTGAGTGGCCATCTGGGTGCATTTCTGCCCCACCCCGCCCTTTTTTGTCTATTGTTATGGAGGCTACACCATATTTATAAGGACAATTCTATGCCACCTCAAGTGCACCTGCCAAGTGTGGTCCTGCTAGCTCAAAACTGTGGATGGTGTTCACAGAGAAACAAATACACAACACGAATCAACACAGGATTCAATCAGTTAATTTAATTTTTATGACAAATATACAATTAAAATTATAATTCTATTGTACTAGGAATCTGCACTATAAGCACAAGGAAAAAAATAGAATGTATTAAAAACTTAAACCGAAAACAAAACTACCTTCAGTTTCGTCATGAGGTCAGTAGGCACAGGGTATCCATTTGTCTTAGCAATTCTAGTTAGAATTACAGTTGCTTCTTCATAACGTCCAACGGACACCAACCAGCGAGGAGATTCAGGCAAAAACCTATAGATAAGAGTATTTTACAATGCTAACTAGTGAAGGAGTTTTTCAAAAGTGAGTTTGTTAATGTCCTAACAAAATTGTTAAATGACAAGAAATGATAGATTCTTTCTTATACTATCACATGACGTTATTATCTAAGTTTTAGAACTGTTGATACACCTTTAATTTCTAGCTTTCCTCCCCACTTTACAATATTTCAGTGTTCTGAGAAAATAAGAGCTAAAAGAACATTTCTTTGACTTAATCGCTACCCCAAGTGGCACAGCGGCAAGTTCGTAGGTTTATAATGGTAAACACTGGGTATCAATACTCGTGGTGTAAACACAGTTAGCCCGTCGTGTAGCGTTATGCTTAACTATGAACAAACAAACAGAGAAAGCTTACCACTTCTTAAACATGTGATATACTACACAGAAGTACCATAACTCCTCATGGATGATCTTGTAAATATCCCACATTAGCTAACCCAAGGTTCATTATAGATCAAAAGATGACAAGTAGGACTATCTACTTTCAGAAGAAATGGTCAAAGATTTGTTTCTGGTTCCTTGTATGAAAGAGGTGTTATGCTTTTATTGCACAAAATCTTTCAGAGACAAAAAGTCACTATTCAACAAAACTGCAGACCCTGCATTTGTATCCTTAGGGTTTAGAAATTGGAAACAAAAAAGCCATAGAGAGGTTTGCAAGACATGCTGATTGTCAATTACATAATGTAGCGGTGACATGTCATGTTCAGGAAGCAAGACCAGTACATAGCTAGCTATCTAGTACTTTGGTGCCACAACAAATAGAGGCAAAATCTTGCCTGTTAAAAAATGCAAGCACAATGCAGTTTTTTGCATGGCAAGAGTTATCTTTTAGAAGCCATGAGGAAAAGGAGTGTAATGTAAGCCAGCTGCTGAAGTTGAGGTGAGAGGATGATTCCAAACTCTTTATGTGGCTAACACATGATCAGGATTATACCTACCCGAAAATTCAAAATGAGATCCTGTATTTAATGGGCAACTCCATTGTGAGAGATATTGCAAAACAAATCAGTTCTCTGCTACTGCTTCAATATTCAATGATAACTGATGAAACACAAGACATGTCTGACACTAATCAAGAGTAAATTTGTCTCCACTACGTGGATCAGAATCTGATGCCACGTGAAGAACTTGTAGATCTGCATGAAATGTCTTCAGCAACAGGAGATAGAATATCCAAGCTTACCATTGATGTTTTACTGCATCTCAATATATCATTTTATGGTGTTCGTGGGTAAACATACAATGGTGCACATATGTTGCTCTGGTGCACAGGATTTTCTTAGGAAAGAACAGCTACCACCTTTTCATGTACATTGTGGTCTTCATTGTATAAATCTCATTACTCATTCTTGAGATTGCCATACTGTGCAAATTAAGGTCACAACATTAATATTTATATAAGTTGTAGGCAATAAAGAATTAGTACATAGAAATGTCACCCATTGCAACAGCCAAGATATTTACCATAATAAAAAGGTACAGATAACATATTAGACTTATTTTACACAATGCTTATTTCTATTGAAAGACTAACAGTAACACAGTAACGGTTCTGCTTTTTTAAGCATCGTAATTGGATAATATTTTCAACTATACTTTATTCTGTATCAACCATTAAGTCAGCAAATTGATGTTTTTGTTTTATTCTAGTTATCCTAAGTATTACCGATGTAAGTGTTATTAGGGTTTTATAAGTTGTATTGATACCTAACTATTCAACTAGTCCTTTGAAAGTTTAAAAATATTGTAATGTTTATATTACTGCTATTGAGTGAATGGGAAAACATTATCACAGAAAATAACTTCTTTATTTCTTTTATTTAGAGAATATTCTATATTAATATATCTTTATTTAGAGAATATTCTATATTAATATATCTTTATTTAGAGAATATTCTATATTAATATTTCTTTATTTAGAGAATATTCTATATTAATATATCTTTATTTAGAGAATATTCTATATTAATATTTCTTTATTTAGAGAATATTCTATATTAATATTTCTTTATTTAGAGAATATTCTATATTAATATATCTTTATTTAGAGAATATTCTATATTAATATGTCTTTATTTAGAGAATATTCTATATTATTATATCTTTATTTATAAAAATTTCTTGTAATAAAATGTTCTTCATGTGCATTATGCTGAATATTTCGCTTATTGTAATAATTTTGTCTTATACACTGAGAATATAAGGCTCGAAATGTTAGACTTTACGAGAAGTTTTGTTTTGTTTAAAATTATTTATCAAACGGACTTTTGAGTATGTTTCCCCACAACTTTGTATATATAAAATAAGTTATGAAAAATTTACAAGTTATTCAGATCAAGTAAGCTATGAAAGAAATATAATATTTATAAAATGATGATAGCAATGACTATTTTACAGTTATGATAGCAACCCTAAATGAACAATATATATATATATAATAAGTACAGTCATCATTACTACACTACCTCCAGGAGGCTAGAAAAGGAATACAGCAGCACGTGGTTATCAGGCCAAGTATTCTCCAGTCTCTACACAAATAAGCAAGAAGAGGGAGAATACACATTCCTATACTCCATGAGATACAGTTGACTCCCACAATCTTGGTACGCGTCTTCTTTGCAACCATCTCAACCACTAAGATAGAAAAAAACATAATTATATATATACAGAGAGAGATAGATAGATATATACACATATATATATATATAGATATATAATTATGTTCGTCTGTTTGTCGTTTATCTAACTATTTCTAGGTCTCTGGGCCAACCTCAACCAAACTTTGTGGGATGATAGGGTAGAACAAGCGACATGTTAATGGGTGGTTCGCAACCCCGCTCCACCTCCATTATTGCAGTTAATGAGCATTTATTATCAATGACGTAACTTAAAGTTAACTATATTCATAGATGGCGCCACGTCCTTAGACCACAATAAAAAGTTAATTAAATTTTGCTATACCACAACTTACACGCAGTGTGTGTGTGGGTGGGGGAGAGGGCAGTCAAACGTCTTACATATCTCAGAGAGTGTACTAGCACTCTGTATGAAGGAATGCAATGAAAAATTATGAAGTTTCTACTCCAACAACCACCATAAGACTGATATGAAAAGCAGTTTCCTGAGTTATACTCACTTCCTATTTGACTCGTGACGTTTCGACTTTGGCCTGTAAGACACTTCTTTTGCCAATGACTGTCAATTAATTAACAACTTGAAACACTGTGGAAGGACATTAAGAGCTGGGTGTTGAAAGCAAGTAACAGAAAGCACCCCTATCACCATCACTTATGCTGCTACATTTTCATACAAAGTCACCTTGACCATCACACAGTGCATAACATGTTCTAAGTATACATACACTGTGAGTTCTTAAAGCTTAAATAGAATCTTGGGTGAGGTAATAATGAATACTGTAGTAATATGTTATGTAATAAATAAATTGTGTGAAAGTTAGAATTTTTGTGTTTTTTATCGTAGCATCTACCCTCACATTTTTTTAAAGTTCATAACCTGGACAAAGGACGGGTACCTCAGCTTGTAGTCTATAACACTCTAATCACACTACCACTACTATGATCTATAATACTTCAATCACACTACCACTACTATGGTCTATAATACTTCAATCACACTACCACTACTATGGTGTATAATACTTCAACCACACTACCACTACTATGGTCTATAATACTTCAATCACACTACCACTACTATGGTCTATAATACTCAATCACACTACCACTACTATGGTCTATAATACTTCAACCACACTACCACTACTATGATCTATAATACTTCAATCACACTACCACTACTATGGTCTATAATACTCCAATCACACTACCACTACTATGGTCTATAATACTTCAATCACACTACCACTACTATGGTCTATAACACTCAGTCACACTACCACTATTATGGTCTATAATACTTGAACCACACTACCACTACTATGGTCTATAACACTTCAACCACACTACCACTACTATGGTCTATAACACTTCAACCACACTACCACTTCTATGACCTATAATACTTCAACCACACTACCACTACTGTGGTCTATAATACTTCAACCACACTACCACTACTATGGTCTATAACACTTCAACCACACTACCACCACTATGACCTATAATACTTCAACCACACTACCACTACTATGGTCTATAATACTTCAACCACACTACCACTATTATGGTCTAAACACTTCAAACACACTACCACTACTATGGTCTATAACACTTCAACCACACTACCACTACTATGGTCTATAATACTTCAAACACACTACCACTACTATGGTCTATAACACTTCAACCACACTACCACTACTATGTTTATTTTACCCAAGTAGGCTTGATAAGCGAAGCTTGTCATCTGCAACGAATATGGCGGACATATTGTGAGTTAAGTATTATTTTTACCCCGAAAAACTCCAAGGGATCGAATAACGAATGTAGCGTTTAATATACAGTAAATCTAATGCTATTGTCTGATGTCGAAATAATTCAGGAAATTATAAATTTTGAACAAACTACATTCTATCAAAAGTCTTGTGCAGTAACATTAGTTTCAACATTTTCATTGGTCTTCTTTAGTCTGGCTTCTACTGATGGAAGAGCTTAGTCCATTGGTAGCAACGGTAACATTTAGAGTTTCTGGCTCTAAAATTCGTGGTTCGATTCTTCTGGTAAACAGAGTGAAGGCAATGTGTAGCTTTTCGTTATAAGAGACTTTATAAGTTTCGAACATTCATATCATATGGTTAAGTTTTTGTCTTGTTGTATTTTTTTGCTCTCTGAACAAAACCTAATGCATCTATTCCTGTACCCCTGTGGATCAGCGATAACTCTACGGAATTACAACGTTAAAACCCGGGTTTCGGTGAATATAGCGGATAGCCTTTTGTGGCTTTGCTCGGGAAAAAACCAACCAAACACACAAGCATTTATCCGTCGGATATGAATAGCACATAACTTTACATTTTAATAACTCGGCAATTTTGTTTTCGTTTTCCGGACTTCTAAAGGTTTATATTTTTGTTTCATTCTTACTCACATCGTCTGACAAGTCAGTAGTAAGTCTTCGCACTTACAACACTAAAATCTAAGTTCAGTTACTCGCGATGTACACAGCGCTAAAAAAAAAGCTTTTTCACAATAGCCAAAGACATAGAAATGTGATAATCAAAATATTAACAGCTTTAAAAGGACTGAGTTTAGAGATTAAAAGTGTTTTGAACAGTCCTGTTACTGAAAGTCAAAATCATATATTTCGTTACCAATATTTCTCACTATTTTTTCATGATAAACTAGGTAAATAAAATTCATTTATTATAAGCACAAATAAACTTACCTTTTAAGGTTTTTCATTTTTTAATATTACTGATGATTTAATTGATTCTCTTCTTAAATAATATCATCTCAATAAATTTACATTTCAGGTCCAATCAATACTAACTTCATGAAACGTTATGTTAAATACTTTGGATATCCAGTGTATCTTATTGGTTACACTTGGAAACTGAACCCTTGCTTTGTCTTTTATACGTATGTGATTGGCTAAATTTATTATGTAAGTTTTCTCATTGAGAAATCACAAAATATAAATATTTTAAGAACTTTTAGTTGCATTTTGTTAAGCTACCATGGGTATCCAAACCTGTTTTTTTTATGTTATAAGCTTTCAGATTTACAGTTGAGTCACTGTGGGGTGTTATATTAACCGTCTGTATAAAGTTTTTAAAATCGGGTTTTGTTTTGCCGATTAACTTCCAACGTCACGCTGAAAGTTTGTTTGTTTGTTGAATTGCTACACGAGGACTATCTGCACTAGCAGTCCATAACGTGGAAATGATTGATAAGAGGAAAGGCAACTGGTCAATACCACCCACCGCCAATTACTTGGCTATATTAATCGACGAGTGGGATTGAACGTCACATTATCACGCCCCCACAGCTGAAAGAGCGAGCATGTTCGATGATTGGATTCAAACTTGTGACCCACACCACCAGCTCATGCTAGATCCCAAGCTGAGAAAGTTCACTAAAATAAATTATAAAATAACTTATATAGATTACATGAGGAATTGTAGTTTTTTTCCAGTTTATAAACTCGCCCAACCTCGAATTATGTCTGTTCAAGTGCTAATTGTTGTTATCTGGTAACTCCGCGATAACTATAGGGGCTTATAACGCTAAAATTTGGATTCAATGCCCACATTCAACACGTCGCAGATATCTAACTTTATAGATTTGCACTTAAAACAAACAAGCTAACAATTGTTATATGTTTTATGTGTGTGTACGTTTACAGAAAAAAAAAACATCTATTTGCGTGGTCTACCCAATGAACAGATTTTCATTTATGGTCAAACAATTATATAGTACGTGATTTAAGATTCTACTAATACATTTAAGTGACTTATCAAAGTGGCTTAGCAAAACTACTGCAGCATTACCTTGCATAAAGTAATTTCCCATTTAGTGGCACCACTATGTTATGAAGTTAGGTGGAAGAAAGATCGGTCGTAGATGAGTGAAGTGTGAAAACAGATGGGTTTTGGTCTCTGAGGAATTAGGGGATTGCAGTGCTGTAATTCGCTAGAAATTTGATAGGAATGAACGGTACATGGATTGAAAGATCCCCTGTGATTACGAAACATTATAGTACCATATATGGAAAATAGGCATAAAATCAAAAATAAAAGGACCTATTAGCTGTGAGTTTGAGAAAGCAATATAAAAGAGAGGAGTTCAACGAAAGAAAAGAAAAATGGCCTGGAGATGTGAGAGAAAACGAATAAACCAAGAGAAGGAGAGTGAAAAAAAAATATACTGCCAGCAAGAAACAAAACCTGCTCCTAAATATATGTGTTATTGGTTGCCAGTAATAAACAGCAGCTTGTTGCGTTTACACTGGTAGGAATCAATTCCTGATAGGAATAAATACAACCTATTATAAAGTTGATGGACATAAGAAGGGAAAGCGAAGTTCAAGAATATCACAATTGCAAGACATTATAAGCCCATATCTTACTGTTTTCTTTATAATTTAATATGCAATATATTTATAAAAATACATTTGTTAGTTCCGTTTTTACTGGCTGTTATACAATGTCTGATGGAAAACAACTTAAATGTAAAATTATCTAAAAAATTAAAGCAATATAAGTTTATTCAATTTCCATTACAGTGAAACATATGAGAGTGAAAAATATATTAAGCACTTGCAAACTGTCCCAAATTGCCGGAGGTGGGCCGTACCCTATAAGTAGTCAATGGATTAAAGTCATAGATAACAGTTGGTGAATAACTCAGATAGTCCACTATCAGTGTTAAATCAGTAATTGTCTTGATATATATCTCAGAAATAAAGTTCACGTGTTTAAAAAGTATAACTTACATATAATAGTTGGTGATTGGTACAATGTTGGATATAATGTACCGTGTATCAGTCGAAACACAGCAAACACTGTAAAACTGGGTACAACCATTGAAATCACTCCGGACACCAACGTCACGATGGTACAGATGAAGAAAGTCAGCTTCCTTCCTATCCTATGAAACAAGAACTAATTACACAACAAACTAACCAGGCTAGCCTATGATTTTATCTACAACTGATATAATACTATCCTTAACTTGGAGTTATCTAACAGGACGATTTCCTTCCTAACGTTGTGAAATGTTATAATCACGAGAAATACGAATCTTGGACTTCACATAAAAAATTACCCAGAAGCCCTAATTACATATCAACAAGCATTTGACTAACGTTACTAGTTAGGATGCGACATGAACAGTGGAAGTGGTGGAAAGGAGGATTACGTCATCATCACGTAATAGCATGTTGTTAGGAGAGGGATATCATCACATGATTACGTCATCATCACTTAATAGCGTGTTATTAGGAGAGGGATAACATCACATGATTACGTCATCATCACGTAATAGCATGTTATTAGGAGAGGGATAACATCGCATGGTTACGTCATCATCACGTAATAGCATGTTGTTAGGAGAGGTTTAACATCACATGGTTACGTCATCAACACCAGAGGACGCGTTGCTAGGAGAGAGAGTTTGACTTACTTTCTATGATCATATTAACTCGAATCACTTTGGGGAACGTCCCTTATGTTTAGTTTATGGTGATTTATTCTACATGACTAATAACATGCTAGAACCAGTATATAGTGCAGGTATTATTACATTGGGCTGTAGGTATACTGAAAAATAAGCATCATGTTTTTCGTTCAGGTAATGGAGATGACGAGGGGTATTCATTTGAAAAACATTACTTTGATTAAATAATTGAAACTTAGAGAAACAATAATCTATGTTTACACATATCGCTTCTACTCATGAAAAACTTTCTTCCTTTTAATATCTGCATTAATCTGTTCTTACAGGTTTACTATGAATGATTAGCTATAAATCTGAATAGTTAATTTAAGATCACGATCTTTGTCTAATATATGAAGTTGTGTGAATACATATTTCAGTATGTGTGACAACAGTCTTATTTGGATTTGTGATTTTTACTTACATACATTGATATCTGAAAATTGAAATTCACCTAAATGAAATTAGAATCACACTGGTTTCTTAGTGCTAGTTAAAGTTCTCCATAATCCCACGAAGTAGTGTTAGACTATAAGGTATCATTAGAAAACAAAACACGCATGTGTTTCTTAAAATTGGACGTTGAAAACACTTCATGAGCATGAGAATCCAAATGGATACAGTATATTAATTATACAAGCGAAGCTGTGAATCCAATGAAGTAGCATGCAAAGATGAAATATTTTGTTAATATGTTAAAAAATACATAAAAACAATAAGTAAAATACCTCTCTTTAAGAAGAGATGAAAACTATAACGTTGATAATGTAATTATCTGATATCACCTAGCAACATATCCCCAGCAAGGCGCTCTCTGGTGATGATGACGTAATCTCTCACCATTTATCCAACTCAAGTTCTATCCTAACTACTTACGTTTGGATGCTACAACACAGGAAATCCGACAAATTACAAAATGTTCACTTCGATTCTACTTGACAAAGTTACTTTACCCATGGTACTAGAAGACAGTGGGAAAATAACAAATATATTGTTACGACAGCGGAAGTCACGCGACGCTGGGAGCATGCGCGCTGGAGTTTCTAGAAGGAACATTATTTTTCCTGGCAACTCTAGTTTGTTCGAGGCGCCCTCTTTTTTCTAGTATATAAGCCTGGCAAAGAAAGCCAGCGAGATTGACAGATAGATTGAAGAGATACAGATAA